CAGCCGTTCTTGCACGTCCACCCCGCCTGCAAAGCCGTGGAACAGCCCTCGCAACAGAACGGACCGTGATGGCCTGAGGCATCGCACGTGATGTACCCGTATGAGCATGCAGTCCAGAGGCCAGAGCAAGTGTCTCCCGGCTGGACGACGAAGGGGTTGCTGCACCTCGAGCGCTTCTGCACATTCAGCAGGGCGGTCTCTTCCGTCTCGCAACCACCTCCTGGGGAAATCAAAAGGTATCGATACCGCTACTCCCCGGACCTCTCCCCGGGAGCGTCCTGACCAGAATTTCGTGGCGAATCTGCCGTGGTTGGCAACGAGGAACCGACCTGGAGGAGAGGCCCAAAAAGGGGGATAGGGGAAGGGCCAGCGGTATGGGGACCTTTTCATCCTCTGACTCCTTCGGCGGATCAAGTAGGTCGGCGCCCTGGGTCGCAAGCAGCCGTAGCGGCAAGCAGACCGGCGAGCAGGAGGCACGCAGGAAAGGCGCCTGCTCTGCGCGGAAGGACCATACCACCGAGGCGGCACGCCGCGGCGCTTGCAGCAAGCGACGCGGGGCCGAGATCGCGACGGGGGCCTGCACCAATCGGCGATAAGCGAGGGGGGGGAACGAGAAGGAGAAGGCCTTCACAAGGCGGCGGGACTTCTCCGAAGCCTTCGCGCCGTCGGAAAAGTTCTTTTTTGTCTTCAGGGTCTCAGAAGGCTGGGGAACTCCGAACCTTCTGAGAAGGCCTTCACCTTTTCACTTACCCCCCTCGCTCGCCGCCGAACCAAAGCGGGCTTGAGACAAAATGGCTTGTGGTGAGCGTTTTGTTATTCGGCGTGTCGACATTGGGCGGGAGGGGGGGGGGATGGGGAGGGGTCTGCCTCTGGACCTCGCGGCTGCTTGGAGCAGCGCGGCCCATGGGGGGGGGAAGCCCCACCTGCCTGAAACAGGCGCCAAGAAACAGCCAAGATCCACTCCGTACTGGGGGGGAGGGGACGGGGGGGGGGGGTGCGAAGGGCCCGCGCCATCGGCACAACGAGGATTCACAAAAAAACGCCCACTTGACCCAATGGAGAGGCCCCGGCGGCTCGCCCTGATCCCCTCCCCCTCCTCGATGGGCTCGGGCACCGACGGGCCTGGCGAGCTGGTGTTTGCCTCGGCTGCTGGGGGTCCTGCCAGTGCTTTGGGCTCCGGCCGGGCGTGGCCTCGGGTGGCTCTCGGCGGCGTCCTCCCCGCCTTCCGCCATGCACTTCCCCCGGCCTTCGGCCGAGGGTGTCCAGGCCGGCGGCAGCCTGCCACCTGCAACAGCAACGAGAGGACCCGGACCCAGAGATGCAAGGTCCGAAAACAAGCAAAAGACGGAGGTGTGGTCCTGAAACCCTGGGACTGTCGAAAGACGACTCGGGATAAAAAGCTGGCCGTGAGGAAAGGGTCGGGACCCCTGGGGACCCCCGTCGGTCGGAAGCAGCGGGTGCAGAAGCATGAAGTAGGAGGGCGCTGGAAGTGGGTTGGGCGTCCGCCCGCCCCCTGATGCGGAGGGAAGAGGGGAAAGGGTTCCACTCTTGAAGCACTCCCGCCCGCCCCCTGAAGAGGAGGGGAGAGGGAACACGACTCTCAACTCTTGAAGTAGGAAGGCGCCCGAAGTAGACTGGAACCTGAGTGCCTAGGAAGACCTCCTCTCAACGACCGACGCGCATTGTGCCTGGGCCTGCGTCTGGGGGCGTAAAGGTGGGGTGCAGTAGGAGCTCGACCACACGAAACCTCCCACGAGAAGCACAACCCTGAGACCCTAGGGCGTCCACTGAGTTGTTTCTTTCGCGCCGCAGGAGCCAATCGCAGCGAGGCAAGATACTAGTCGTATGGAGCTCCCGTCCCACCTAGGCGAGCGGGGAGCTCCCATACCTCCTTGAAACAGCGCTCCCTGCGTAAGATTCCGCGTTCTTGAAACAAGGCGCGCCCAGTATTGAAATCGCGCTCCGTCTCCTGGAGGAGAGGGGGGGGGGGGGGCGAAGAGGAAATTGAGTGGACGTGCTTGCGTGTGTGTGTGTGTGCGTGCGCGCGCTGGCTCGTGCGACAAATGGCTGGTGAATCGACACAACTTGGAGCAGGTGGGGGGGGGAAGCCCCACCTGCCTGAAACAGGCGCCAAGAAACAGCCAAGATCCACTCCGTACTGGGGGGGAGGGGACGGGGGGGGGGGGGTGCGAGGGCCCGCGCCGATCGGCACAACGAGGAATTCACAAAAAAACGCCCACCTGACCCAAGGGAGAGCCCCGGCGGCCTCGCCCTGCCTCCTCCCCTCCCCCTCCTCGCTGGGCTCGGGCACCGAGCGGGCCAGGCCGAGCTGGTGTTTGCATCGGCGGCTGGGGGTCCTGCCAGTGCTTTGGGCTCCGGCCGGGCGTGGCCTCGGGTGGCTCTCGGCGGCGTCCTCCCCGCCTTCCGCCATGCACTTCCCCCGGCCTTCGGCCGAGGGTGTCCAGGCCGGCGGCAGCCTGCCACCTGCAACAGCAACGAGAGGACCCGGACCCAGAGATGCAAGGTCCGAAAACAAGCAAAAGACGGAGGTGTGGTCCTGAAACCCTGGGACTGTCGAAAGACGACTCGGGATAAAAAGCTGGCCGTGAGGAAAGGGTCGGGACCCCTGGGGACCCCCGTCGGTCGGAAGCAGCGGGTGCAGAAGCATGAAGTAGGAGGGCGCTGGAAGTGGGTTGGGCGTCCGCCCGCCCCCTGATGCGGAGGGAAGAGGGGAAAGGGTTCCACTCTTGAAGCACTCCCGCCCGCCCCCTGAAGAGGAGGGGAGAGGGAACACGACTCTCAACTCTTGAAGTAGGAAGGCGCCCGAAGTAGACTGGAACCTGAGTGCCCTAGGAAGACCTCTCTAAAGACCGACCGCGCATTGTGGCCTGGGCCTTGGTCTGGGGGCGTTGAAGGAGGGGTGCAGTAAGGAGCTCGACCACACGAAACCTCCCACGAGAAGCACCACCCTGAGACCCTAGGGAGTCCATCGTTCTTGTTTCCTTTCGACGCGCAGGAAGCCAATCGCAGCGAGGCAAGATACTAGTCGCATGGAGCTCCCGTCCCACCTAGGCGAGCGGGGAGCTCCCATACCTCCTTGAAACAGCGCTCCCTGCGTAAGATTCCGCGTTCTTGAAACAAGGCGCGCCCAGTATTGAAATCGCGCTCCGTCTCCTGGAGGAGAGGGGGGGGGGGGCGAAGAGGAAATTGAGTGGACGTGCTTGCGTGTGTGTGTGTGCGTGCGTGCGTGCGCTGGCCGTGCGCGTGCTTGAATGACAACTGGAGGTGGGGAAGAGGCAGCCTAAACCTCGGGCGCGCCGCTGCTCACTGCTTCTCGCCTTCAGCCGTTCTTGCACGTCCACCCCGCCTGCAAAGCCGTGGAACAGCCCTCGCAACAGAACGGACTGATGGCCTGAGGCATCGCCGTGATGTACCGTATGAGCATGCAGTCCAGAGGCCAGGCCCCGGCTGAGGGTTGCTGCACCTCGAGCGCTTCTGCACATTCAGCAAGGCGGTCTCTTCTCCCCCACCTCCTGGGGAAATCAAAGGATACCGATACCGCTACTCCCCGGACCTCTCTTGGGGAGCGTCCTGACCAGATTTCGAGGCGAATCCAGCGGTGGCAACGAGGACCGACAGGAGGCCCAAAAGGGGGAAACGGGCGAAGGGCAGGGTATGGGGACCCTTTTCCTCCTCTGACCTTCGGCGGAACAAGTAGTCGGCGCCCCTGGGCTCGCAGCAGCCGTAGCGGCAAGCAGACCGGCGAGCAGGAGGCACGCAGGAAAGGCGCCTGCTCTGCGCGGAAGGACCATACCACCGAGGCGGCACGCCGCGGCGCTTGCAGCAAGCGAAGCGGGGCCGAGATCGCGACGGGGGCCTGCACCAATCGGCGATAAGCGAGGGGGGGGAACGAGAAGGAGAAGGCCTTCACAAGGCGGCGGGACTTCTCCGAAGCCTTCGCGCCGTCGGAAAAGTTCTTTTTTGTCTTCAGGGTCTCAGAAGGCTGGGGAACTCCGAACCTTCTGAGAAGGCCTTCACCTTTTCACTTCCCCCCCTCGCTCGCCGCCGAACCAAAGCGGGCTTGAGACAAAATGGCTTGTGGTGAGCGTTTTGTTATTCGGCGTGTCGACATTGGGCGGGAGGGGGGGGGGATGGGGAGGGGTCTGCCTCTGGACCTCGCGGCTGCTTGGAGCAGCGCGGCCCATGGGGGGGGTAAGCCCCACCTGCCTGAAACAGGCGCCAAGAAACAGCCAAGATCCACTCCGTGCTGGGGGGGAGGGGACGGGGGGGGGCGGGTGCGAGGCCCGCGCCGAATCGGCACAACGAGGAATTTCCCCAAAAAAAAACGCCCACCTGACCCAAGTGGAGAGGCCCCGGCGGCCTCCGCCCGGCCTCCTCCCCTCCCCCTCCTCGCTGGGCTCGGGCACCGAGCGGGCCAGGCCGAGCTGGTGTTTGCATCGGCTGCTGGGGGTCCTGCCAGTGCTTTGGGCTCCGGCCGGGCGTGGCCTCGGGTGGCTCTCGGCGGCGTCCTCCCCGCCTTCCGCCATGCACTTCCCCCGGCCTTCGGCCGAGGGTGTCCAGGCCGGCGGCAGCCTGCCACCTGCAACAGCAACGAGAGGACCCGGACCCAGAGATGCAAGGTCCGAAAACAAGCAAAAGACGGAGGTGTGGTCCTGAAACCCTGGGACTGTCGAAAGACGACTCGGGATAAAAAGCTGGCCGTGAGGAAAGGGTCGGGACCCCTGGGGACCCCCGTCGGTCGGAAGCAGCGGGTGCAGAAGCATGAAGTAGGAGGGCGCTGGAAGTGGGTTGGGGCGTCCGCCCGCCCCCTGATGCGGAGGGAAGAGGGGAAAGGGTTCCACTCTTGAAGCACTCCCCCGCGCCCCCCCTGAAGGAGAGAGGGGGAACACCTCTCAACTCTTGAAGTAGGAAGGCGCCCGAAGTAGACTGGAACCTGAGTGCCTAGAAGACCTCCTCTCAACGACCGACGCGCATTGTGCCTGGGCCTGCGTCTGGGGGCGTAAAGGTGGGGTGCAGTAGGAGCTCGACCACACGAAACCTCCCACGAGAAGCACAACCCTGAGACCCTAGGGCGTCCACTGAGTTGTTTCTTTCGCGCCGCAGGAGCCAATCGCAGCGAGGCAAGATACTAGTCGCATGGAGCTCCCGTCCCACCTAGGCGAGCGGGGAGCTCCCATACCTCCTTGAAACAGCGCTCCCTGCGTAAGATTCCGCGTTCTTGAAACAAGGCGCGCCCAGTATTGAAATCGCGCTCCGTCTCCTGGAGGAGAGGGGGGGGGGGGGGCGAAGAGGAAATTGAGTGGACGTGCTTGCGTGTGTGTGTGTGTGCGTGCGCTGGCCGTGCGCGTGCTTGAATGACAACTGGAGGTGGGGAAGAGGCAGCCTAAACCTCGGGCGCGCCGCTGCTCACTGCTTGTCGCCTTCAGCCGTTCTTGCACGTCCACCCCGCCTGCAAAGCCGTGGAACAGCCCTCGCAACAGAACGGACCGTGATGGCCTGAGGCATCGCACGTGATGTACCCGTATGAGCATGCAGTCCAGAGGCCAGAACAACTGTCTCCCGGCTGGACGACGAAGGGGTTGCTGCACCTCGAGCGCTTCTGCACATTCAGCAAGGCGGTCTCTTCCGTCTCGCAACCACCTCCTGGGGAAATCAAAGGATACCGATACCGCTACTCCCCGGACCTCTCTCGGGGAGCGTCCTGACCAGAATTTCGAGGCGAATCCAGCGGTGGCAACGAGGACCGACCAGGAGGCCCAACAAGGGGGAAACGGGCGAAGGGCAGAGGTATGGGTACCTTTTCCTCCTCTGACCTCCATCGGCGGAACAAGTAGTCGGCGCCCCTGGGCTCGCAGCAGCCGTAGCGGCAAGCAGACCGGCGAGCAGGAGGCACGCAGGAAAGGCGCCTGCTCTGCGCGGAAGGACCATACCACCGAGGCGGCACGCCGCGGCGCTTGCAGCAAGCGAAGCGGGGCCGAGATCGCGACGGGGGCCTGCACCAATCGGCGATAAGCGAGGGGGGGGAACGAGAAGGAGAAGGCCTTCACAAGGCGGCGGGACTTCTCCGAAGCCTTCGCGCCGTCGGAAAAGTTCTTTTTTGTCTTCAGGGTCTCAGAAGGCTGGGGAACTCCGAACCTTCTGAGAAGGCCTTCACCTTTTCACTTCCCCCCCTCGCTCGCCGCCGAACCAAAGCGGGCTTGAGACAAAATGGCTTGTGGTGAGCGTTTTGTTATTCGGCGTGTCGACATTGGGCGGGAGGGGGGGGGGGATGGGGAGGGGTCTGCCTCTGGACCTCGCGGCTGCTTGGAGCAGCGCGGCCCATGGGGGGGGGAAGCCCCACCTGCCTGAAACAGGCGCCAAGAAACAGCCAAGATCCACTCCGTACTGGGGGGGAGGGGACGGGGGGGGGGGGTGCGAGGGCCCGCGCCGATCGGCACAACGAGGAATTCACAAAAAAACGCCCACCTGACCCAAGTGGAGAGGCCCCGGCGGCCTCGCCCTGCCTCCTCCCCTCCCCCTCCTCGCTGGGCTCGGGCACCGAGCGGGCCAGGCCGAGCTGGTGTTTGCATCGGCTGCTGGGGGTCCTGCCAGTGCTTTGGGCTCCGGCCGGGCGTGGCCTCGGGTGGCTCTCGGCGGCGTCCTCCCCGCCTTCCGCCATGCACTTCCCCCGGCCTTCGGCCGAGGGTGTCCAGGCCGGCGGCAGCCTGCCACCTGCAACAGCAACGAGAGGACCCGGACCCAGAGATGCAAGGTCCGAAAACAAGCAAAAGACGGAGGTGTGGTCCTGAAACCCTGGGACTGTCGAAAGACGACTCGGGATAAAAAGCTGGCCGTGAGGAAAGGGTCGGGACCCCTGGGGACCCCCGTCGGTCGGAAGCAGCGGGTGCAGAAGCATGAAGTAGGAGGGCGCTGGAAGTGGGTTGGGCGTCCGCCCGCCCCCTGATGCGGAGGGAAGAGGGGAAAGGGTTCCACTCTTGAAGCACTCCCGCCCGCCCCCTGAAGAGGAGGGGAGAGGGAACACGACTCTCAACTCTTGAAGTAGGAAGGCGCCCGAAGTAGACTGGAACCTGAGTGCCTAGGAAGACCTCCTCTCAACGACCGACGCGCATTGTGCCTGGGCCTGCGTCTGGGGGCGTAAAGGAGGGGTGCAGTAGGAGCTCGACCACACGAAACCTCCCACGAGAAGCACAACCCTGAGACCCTAGGGCGTCCACTGAGTTGTTTCTTTCGCGCCGCAGGAACCAATCGCAGCGAGGCAAGATACTAGTCGTATGGAGCTCCCGTCCCACCTAGGCGAGCGGGGAGCTCCCATACCTCCTTGAAACAGCGCTCCCTGCGTAAGATTCCGCGTTCTTGAAACAAGGCGCGCCCAGTATTGAAATCGCGCTCCGTCTCCTGGAGGAGAGGGGGGGGGGGGCGAAGAGGAAATTGAGTGGACGTGCTTGCGTGTGTGTGTGCGTGCGTGCGTGCGCTGGCCGTGCGCGTGCTTGAATGACAACTGGAGGTGGGGAAGAGGCAGCCTAAACCTCGGGCGCGCCGCTGCTCACTGCTTCTCGCCTTCAGCCGTTCTTGCACGTCCACCCCGCCTGCAAAGCCGTGGAACAGCCCTCGCAACAGAACGGACCGTGATGGCCTGAGGCATCGCACGTGATGTACCCGTATGAGCATGCAGTCCAGAGGCCAGAACAACTGTCTCCCGGCTGGACGACGAAGGGGTTGCTGCACCTCGAGCGCTTCTGCACATTCAGCAAGGCGGTCTCTTCCGTCTCGCAACCACCTCCTGGGGAAATCAAAGGATACCGATACCGCTACTCCCCGGACCTCTCTCGGGGAGCGTCCTGACCAGAATTTCGAGGCGAATCCAGCGGTGGCAACGAGGACCGACCAGGAGGCCCAAAAAGGGGGAAACGGGCGAAGGGCAGAGGTATGGGTACCTTTTCCTCCTCTGACCTCCATCGGCGGAACAAGTAGTCGGCGCCCCTGGGCTCGCAGCAGCCGTAGCGGCAAGCAGACCGGCGAGCAGGAGGCACGCAGGAAAGGCGCCTGCTCTGCGCGGAAGGACCATACCACCGAGGCGGCACGCCGCGGCGCTTGCAGCAAGCGAAGCGGGGCCGAGATCGCGAGGGGGGCCTGCACCAATCGGCGATAAGCGAGGGGGGGGAACGAGAAGGAGAAGGCCTTCACAAGGCGGCGGGACTTCTCCGAAGCCTTCGCGCCGTCGGAAAAGTTCTTTTTTGTCTTCAGGGTCTCAGAAGGCTGGGGAACTCCGAACCTTCTGAGAAGGCCTTCACCTTTTCACTTACCCCCCTCGCTCGCCGCCGAACCAAAGCGGGCTTGAGACAAAATGGCTTGTGGTGAGCGTTTTGTTATTCGGCGTGTCGACATTGGGCGGGAGGGGGGGGGGGATGGGGAGGGGTCTGCCTCTGGACCTCGCGGCTGCTTGGAGCAGCGCGGCCCATGGGGGGGGGAAGCCCCACCTGCCTGAAACAGGCGCCAAGAAACAGCCAAGATCCACTCCGTACTGGGGGGGAGGGGACGGGGGGGGGGGGGTGCGAGGGCCCGCGCCGATCGGCACAACGAGGAATTCACAAAAAAACGCCCACCTGACCCAAGTGGAGAGGCCCCGGCGGCCTCGCCCTGCCTCCTCCCCTCCCCCTCCTCGCTGGGCTCGGGCACCGAGCGGGCCAGGCCGAGCTGGTGTTTGCATCGGCTGCTGGGGGTCCTGCCAGTGCTTTGGGCTCCGGCCGGGCGTGGCCTCGGGTGGCTCTCGGCGGCGTCCTCCCCGCCTTCCGCCATGCACTTCCCCCGGCCTTCGGCCGTGGGTGTCCAGGCCGGCGGCAGCCTGCCACCTGCAACAGCAACGAGAGGACCCGGACCCAGAGATGCAAGGTCCGAAAACAAGCAAAAGACGGAGGTGTGGTCCTGAAACCCTGGGACTGTCGAAAGACGACTCGGGATAAAAAGCTGGCCGTGAGGAAAGGGTCGGGACTCCTGGGGACCCCCGTCGGTCGGAAGCAGCGGGTGCAGAAGCATGAAGTAGGAGGGCGCTGGAAGTGGGTTGGGCGTCCGCCCGCCCCCTGATGCGGAGGGAAGAGGGGAAAGGGTTCCACTCTTGAAGCACTCCCGCCCGCCCCCTGAAGAGGAGGGGAGAGGGAACACGACTCTCAACTCTTGAAGTAGGAAGGCGCCCGAAGTAGACTGGAACCTGAGTGCCTAGGAAGA